GGAGGTGGTGGGGGACTGGAGGGATGAGGAGGTGGTGGGGGACTGGAGGGATGAGAAGGTGGTGGGGGTGGTGGAGCAGGTACATCTGGTGGGTCTGGGATGATCTCCACATTGACCTCGTAAGACTCCACATTGGGATAGGTAGTTATTCTGCTGAACTTCCGCAGCACTGGTGGAGTGGGTTTGTGACTAGGCGGAGGCGTTCCGTCACTCTGGGTAATGATTATTGCTGGGGGTCTGCTGTTATGTCCCATGACTGAAGACTGCGGGGTCTCAAAAACGGAGAGAATAATTTCGGAAGAGAGTGACCCACGAGAGTCCTGGCCTAGCCTCTGCCTTATGTCCTGAAAGGCCTGCTGCTCAAACTGCCGTGCCTGCTCTTTTACTGTCAATTTGGGCTCTGGATCTTCGTCTACAAGCCCATCAAACCCATCAATCATCTCCTTACTGTCCTTAAGGTCGGACTTCAGCAGTTGCAGCTCCCACTGAACTGGATCCATCGCCACCCTTCTACTCAGTAGGGCTTTATTGGTCTCACACTTGTGCAACCTAGAAGGTAATGTCCAGGCATGTCCTGAGTCTGTAGATGGGAAGCTCAGGATGGACTTTCTCAGACCTCTCATGTTGGGTGAATACATGCCCAGGTGGTACCTCTGATTTTGGTGCTCAGGGCTGCTGAGGGTGCCGTCATCATGGTACAGGGGGTTGGTTGTAGTAAGAGGGTTCTCGTCAGAAAGGAAGGTAATGTTGCTTTCTGACTTAGGCAAGTTGTTAAGCAGGACTCCATTAGCGGTGGACAGCTTGTGAGCAGTGATGGCATGGGAGGCAAATGAGCTAATGAGATGCTGCCGATCGCTGTCCTTCAGAACACACCTCTTAGTCCTGCTTTCAGCATAACCGCAAAAAGAGACAATGATCAACTTAACAGAGGACATGAACAGCAAGATAGACGGGGAATTAGGAGGGAAGCCAGCTACAAAAAGCACTTGCTTGGATTGACTTTAGTACTAAGAACAAAATGCTAAACAAATCCTAGGCAAACACCCAAAACAAGTTTTCACAGAACAACGCTAACACAGTGCCAAGCTAATATCAATACTGATCAAGAGAAAGGCAGCTGATAACAGTGCTAGGCAGTTGGAAGCAAAGGATATTCAACATCTTTGAGAAACTATCACAAATGCAGCTATACCTTACTTACAGTATAATGTCTACTTGAAACTACTTGGGTAGTTGACTACTATAGATGAAACACAGATGACTCCCTACTTACTTAGATCTGATATCCAAGAAATGAGAAAGAGAGACAGGTGGAAAAGACATTATATAAGTGAAATTAGCAATATGTTAAAATGCAGATAACTGTAATAAAGGTTACACTTTTAAAAAATGGAAACCTGCCTAACATTAGACACAATCATTACAGAGAAATTAGTAATAATGAAAAACTTTACTTGATATTTTGAATTAAAATGTGACATCACAACAGCTATATGGGGGTATGTGGAAGGCCCTCGAATTGTAGGGTAAAAAGTAATGAAATTACTCATAGAAGATAAATTGTCTTGACAGTTTTGGGGTCAAAAGTTACTGAACAGTTTTCCAAAAAAAAAAAAAAACCGCAACAATATCATATATTTTTGATATACCGAAACCTTCGCGATGCAACACTATGGATATGGCAATGAAAAAGCCACATAGGATTTCAGATGGTATTTTCACTGCTCTGATTTAAATTTAAACACAAACTTGTTAATTGTCATGCCTACTATATGCCTTAGGGGTACCTGCAACTTCTAAAATAAATGAGTCCAGTCTTCATCAAATTTGGGTTAGATGATCTTTAGACCATTCCTGATAAATGTGGATCTTTGATATTCCACAAAAACCTTCCTGTAACATGCTATGAAATGATAACCATGAAGACACGGAACAGGACGGGAAGCTGTGTATTGCTTTTTACTTTCAAAGCTTGTGATGTTGGGACCACACCCTGAAGGTAATACAAGAGTTTGGTGATCACCTCAACCTGGGTTCAGACTTGCAATCTTTTTATGGAAGGCCTGTAATTTTGCATTACCCCTAATGTGTTAGAAATCCTGGCACAGGTAAACGAATAAATGGAAATGACCGTCACAAAAAAGGGATATTGCCATTGGGTGGAATTTTAACACCATGAATAGAAGCCCTAGCTTTGCTAAGCTATAAAAACAGGTTACATTAAACTGTATCTGTAAATCGTAAAAGAGAAATACTGCAGAAATTCTGCACAATTCAAATTAGCATCTTAATAATCAAACTAGAATTTTCATTTACTCAAATGAATTTTCCACACACTTCTTGCTCCAATCATACAACTACATTTTGTTAGATTTATTATTTAAACAAGAAAGAAAAATGCCAATTTGGTTAGAAATATAGACTTAATTCATAGCCATGAATAGACTTGTGCAATTTTACTTCAAGTAAATATATCCCGTAAAACCCATTACATATTAATATTCTGAATCAGCCAGTGTTTTAAGACATTGACAAGTACAGTATAAAGTGCAGAAGGTATAAAACTTACATGGTGCTGTCGCCGAGTTCTTCATACAGATTGTTGGTGGCAGCGCCTCCGGATTTGCCAGTGGGAAGTGCCATTTGAATCCTGGCTGTTTTTGCACACTCTGCCTGTCGTCTTCAGATGATGAAGTCAACAAGTGGAGCAAAATAAAAGCAATATCTTGTATTATAAAAGATTCATAAATTATACATGCACTCACATATCAAAAACAATATGTTTACAGAAACACATTTTTGAAAGCATATAATTTGCTTTATTGCATATATTTATTTTTTTATTTATTGCATTCAAAGGTAATATTTGAGAGTTTGATGGTTATGTTTATGTTATGAGTGCCTGTGAAGTGGTTTGAGTTTGCAATTTCATAGCATGCTGTCCTTAAAGAACACTTCTAATGTTTTTGAATAATTCGGTTATGATCTTTTCTTTCAAAGTGCAATTTTACAAGGATGTTGGAATCAGCTTTGTTAAAAAAAACAAAAGCTATGTTTTTTTTACATAAGTTGTGTTCTAAGCACTTCTGTTCTGGTCCTGGGAAATCAACAAGCTTTTATCTTTCCCTGGACATTTAGCTTTTTTGGAGTTTCTCAGACACAACAAATTAGATCAGTGGTTCTCAACCGGTGGGTCGCCGACAGCAAGAGAAAAAAAATGGTATGCATAAAATGGAATAATAATAAATTGCAACAAACCATATAATCTTTCATAGTTAGGAGGAGTGCACAATAAAGAGGCATTTCTAAAAGGGGGAGACACCGCTTCTCACTTTTTTTTCTTTTTTTTTGGATGCCAATGGTCACATGTTAAATCAAATTGTACTTCAACTCAAAATTTCTAGAAGCTGGTCATATTTTGGGCAACATGGACAGGTAAACAAACAAAACTATGCAAAATACAAGAAGATGCTACCAAAGAGGAAAGACATCATTAGTGCCGTCAATGTATTTTGTGCAGTGAATTATTGGCATAAACATTAAAATTCAAGAGACATTTAGAAACCAAACACTCAAACTATAAAAATAAGTCTGTTGAGTTTTTTTTATATATTAATATATTCCACTATTGTTGATTTACATTGTTGTATCATTGACACCAAACATGTACATGTACAACAAACTATTTAGGTAGTGTTGAGTTGCTATTTGATATCCAATGTAAAATCTGGACCTTTAAGCCAAACCATTTGAGAACCACTGAATTAAATAATGCTCGAGAGTGTCACAGTCTTCAGCGGGTGTGCCCAGGATGGCCACCAGATGACACTGTTCTCGGTGAGCACATGGCTTGTGTTGTGTTTGTTTTGTGCCATGTGCTCTCTCCTGTCTATTGTCTTGCCCCGCCCATCTTATTACCTCGTTATAGTTTAAGTTGCTCCACCTGTGTTTCCCTCGTTAGCCTCCTCGTTTGGTTTCCCATTTATTCTCCTGGTGTCTGTAATCCTGTGCTGATCCGTTGTTTTTCATTGTGTGTGTTATGTCTGCATGTAGTGCAGTTTCGAGCCTGCCTGTCTGTTTTTCCCCTTCGGGGTGGTTTGAGTTTGTTTTTGTTTCATTTTATTATTAAAGAAAGAACAATTCCTCCTGCACTTGAGTCCTCGCTTCCTCTATCCTCACGCACCGTGACAGAGAGAGGGAAATGGTTGAGATATATAACCAATATATAATTACACATACATGTCTCAATACTTACTCTTTGAATCTGAAGTTGGTGCATTGTAAAAAGAAAAGAAAAAAAATATTAGACAATGACTCATAACAACATGGATTCACTGCACAGCAGTAAGAATCAGTAATGCAAAAAAACCATGTATATTGCAAAAATATATATTGGATTTCAGCCCCAAAATGTAAAAATCTGTTATCTTCTCCCCACAAGTATGAATTATATCCATGCCAAACTAAACCCTCAATAATTCCTGAATGATTCTCATATCTCTAGCACTGATCATGTCATTTTATTCCTCAGTTCTCATCATCAGATTTGTCACATGGCACTGGGTCAGCTGGCAACACATGTAAAACTCAGCCCTTAACCACAGACAGCTTCTTATATTTACTTCTCATGGCCTTGATTAATCTTCTTTCACACTGAATAAACACAAGACCAGACAGTTCTCAAAGGTGTTACCACTGTGAAAAGAAGAGTGCATCTGAAGTCCCAGCGGATGGAAGCTGCCTGCTTAACAGGATGTTTCAAACTTAATGAACTTTACATTTATTTATTTATTTGGTATATTTAAGTGGAGAAATCTGCAGACTGAATAGTCTTCCCACTTCAACCTCATTCCCACACAGGGCATAAAAGCAACACTGTGACATAACATTTGTATTAAAAACTAACTGGAAATATGCAAAGAATCACAACAGAAGAATTGGTTAATGGCTAATTTCACTAAATATTAGGGGTGTGCGATATTTATCGTCTATGAAAATATCATTACTGTTGTTTTAACAATATGCTAGCTGGCAATATTGAGTATGTAGCAAAAAATAAATAAAAAAATAAAAAATTGATGATATGATATAGTTAAATAGGCAATATCACACAAGCAAGAGTGCCATCTTCCCGATCACGAATGTTGTATTGATTCTATACAACAGTTCAACAAACAAGAAGCTAATACTGAGTGAGTTACATTTTAGGCACAATTATGTCTGGTTTTTTTTCTTACATAATAATAAACATGGCAATTTTTTATTCCTGAATTAATCTGTTTTGGAATGAGTCATTTGAGTCAGTGATTCAATGGTCAACTCATAAAGACAGCTGACTGCTTTATTTCGAAATGAATCAGCTGTTTTGAACAAATCGTTTAAATGAATGATTCAACGAATCACTCATTAAGAGAGGGGGACTTGCCACTACCCACTGGCGGGTTTAGTGTTATATTTATTTATTTATTCATGACAGGCCTAAACCAGCCAAGGTACCAACACAAAAACATACTCAGCGAATTATTGTTATCGGAAAAATCCGAGATATAGTTTTTGTCAATATCGCACACCTCTACTAAATATTAATATTAAATGCCATATGATTTAATTAGATCATGAAATTTTAGGCTACACTAGACTATGGTGGCGACACTCACTGCCGGTAGGTGATGATGACGATGAGGATGGCTGGGATACAGCACATGATGATGATGACGGCCAGGGCCAGCAGGGCTCCTTCAGTGTATCCAACAGACTGAACCGCCTTCTTCACGCTCTCCACCACATCCGGCGTGCGGATCTCCAGAATGCGTCCTCCGCGACCTAGATAAGGCTGGAACTCCTTATTGATGTCTAATAACTTCCCATCTAAAAACCTGTAAAAACCACAGGAACAGTCACATACGTGGCCTTGCATATGCTATTGAACTAGTTCTGCAGTGCAAGCCACGTAAATCTGGCAATGAAGATCTCATTTGCCTTCCAGCCAGTGAACAACTGAGTGAATGAATTCAAATTCATGAGCCAAACTTTTACAATAAAGTATAACATGTGTCTTCTCACTTTTTTAGTGTAATGTAACTGTAATGTGCTGATCTTATACTTACATTGGCTACTATAAAGCACAATTTCTAATTACCATTCACCCCTGCTGACAGTTAAATAAAACAAAAGACTGAATGTTGTCTATATTAGAACTAAGGAGTTTGGAAGCACATACGGCAGCCTACAATTCATGATTTGCCCATACAAACATTAGAAACCGTGCTAATTACTCTGACAAAACAGACAATCTGGCTACGGATTTAACCACTAGTCTCATTTTTATGAAAAATTAGAAAATGTCTAAACAAACATAAATATACACTCCATCTGCTTTATCGTGCTGCTTGGGTGAAAAATGGGAAAACAAAAATTACACTATGAATAACAGACTAACTAATGGCTAGGGGTGGGTGGTATCTTAAGCAATGCTATGATAAATGTTATACCATGCTAATTGTGTGTATAATTGTGTATGCAGGAAATTGAGTGTAAAATAAAAGAATACACTGAATGGCCATGTTAACCTTTTTTTTGGCGTAATCCAGTGAATTAAACACTTTACAAATGAAAGGTAATTAATATAATTTGATTGATTATTTATTTATTTATGAACCTGATGGACACAAAACAAATAATCAATAAATTAGACATCAGTGCAAGCTGGTATTTAGCCAAAACAAGCCAAGAAATCCATGCATCATCTCTAGCTGGTAAAAATGACTCATATTTCTATTTACAGCAATTACAAACACAATTCTTCAATCCCAAATCATGTCCACTTGATGCACCTACAACGTCTTTGTTTTGACATTTTTTTTAGACGTGTAGCGCTCTGCATTTTTGCTTTACTCATCTAAATAATATAAAGCAGCTCTTCCCATTTACTGTATAGCTGAAAAACACATCTATATTCCAGTGTGAAGGGTAGATATATCTCTAGCAGTTAGTTGCTTAGATTTGAGGGAAAGGTCAGGAGGATAAGAGAAAGAAGAGCACTGCAGAAATGGAGTTTGGAAGGGTAAGTTGAATGAGAGGAAGCACTCACTTGAAGAGTTCCTGTCTCGAGAGAGCTCTGTTGGTCAGAGGGTCGATTGCATAAATCATCAGGTCAGATTTTGAGTAGTCCTCCTGTTCATAACCCTCGCCAAAACGACGCGGTCCGATCGACTCCACAACAACTTTAGCTCCTGGGATCTGGTCCTGCACGTAGCGCTCTAAAATCCTGCATTGAAAGACAGAAAATAACAGATTGACAACAGAACGTTCTGACATACCGAAGACATTCTATTTACCATTTACCATTTTTTTATTTCAAAAATTCTATACAAACATACTTTTAATGACTGTTTTCACATAGGGCACATTCTCAAAACTATGGAAGCCTGTTTCCACTACTGAAAAAAAACAAAACAAAAAAAACTCACAATTCTTTTTTTCTCTTCAATTTTGCTTTTACATCTCGCAATTCTGACATTTTTTCTCAGAATTGTGTTATATAAATGTGCAGACTTTTTTCCCCAATTGCAAGTTTATCTTTCTCAATTCTGACTTTATAACAAGCAACCACGAGTTACAAAGTCAGAATTGTGAGATACAAACTTGCGATTCTAAGAAAATAGTCCAATTTTTTTCCCCTTAGAATTTGACGTTCTCAAATTCTTCACAATTCTGAGAAAAAAAGCCAAAATTGCAAGTTATAACTGGGAGTTACAAACTTGCAGTTGCGAGAAAAAAGTCACAATTACCTTTTTATTTTTTATTCAGGGTTTTAAATCAAAGCAAAGCAAAACAAAAAACAAAACAAAACTTAAAAATCTAAATAAAACCAAACAAAATTCTTACATACCAAAACAAACAATTCATGTCAAAACACTGAGTAAAACTTATTGTGGGAAAGTTAGAGGGATGCTGCATCGAATTATTTCTGTGCTAATTTAAGAGCCCCAAAGCCATTAATTGGTGGGCACATATCAGAGGAAATACGCTGACAATCAACTTCCACACGATCGCTAACATGCACAACAAACGCTAATTGCAGTAATCACCATAGCCAGAGATATAAAACAGAAAAAAATTACACAAGAGCAACAATTACTCAGCCTAAATATACCACAAGTGCTGCAAACCCCTATATTAACCATGTTTGTTTGGCTACACGGAACAGAAACTGTTTTGAATACAGAGGTACAAGGAGGACAAATACAAAACAAGGCTAAACTGAGCTGTGTTAGACAGTGTCACTTCAAAGCTGGTGTCCTTGTCTCCCAGTAGATGTCTTTATTACCCCTCAGCTCACATCTCAGAGCAGCCAGCCCTCCTCAGCCAATTACCTGCAGTGCCTCAGATACCCCCCACCCCCCCATTCACAGCTGCCCCCCAAGAGAGAATGAGGTGGTTTGGGAAAACTCAGGCTGTGAGTTCTGTTATCTGTGTGTGTGTGTTCCCGCCTGTGTATATACTAGGAATTTCAATGTGTTTATGTCTTCATATCTGCACTGTAATATCTCAACAGGGATGTCTATGTGAAAATGAATATTTTGTCATTATTTAAACACGTTGTTCCAGAACTGAATTAATTTATTTCTTCTATGGAACAAGGAGAAATTCGAGAAATTCTGAAAAATGTTCATGCTGCTCTTTTCCATATGATGGAAATAAATGAGGATGGGTGATGCTGAACACCAAAAATGCCATAAAAACATCCTAAAAGCATGATAAATGTGCTCCATATGACTAATGCGCTATGTTTTTATGGTAACACTTTAGTTTAGGGATCAATTCTCACTATGAACTAGTTGCTTGTTAGCCTGCATATTACTAGAATATTGGCTGTTTATTAGTACTTATAAAGCACATATTAATGCCTTATTCTGCATGACCATATTTTAGATTCCCTAAATCTACCACACACCTAACATAACAACTACACTCTAAAAAATGCTGGGTTAAATACAACCCAGCACTGGGTAAAATATGGACAAACTCAGCGATTGGGTTGTTTTGACCCAGCATTTGGGTTACTACCCAGAAGGTTGGGTTAATCATTTAACCCAACCGCTGGGTCAAAAGAACCCAGTTGCTGGGTTTGCCCATATTTTACCCAGTGCTGGGTTGTATTTAACCCAGCATTTTTTATAACTTACTAGCTATTGATAAGTAGCAAATTAGGAATTTTTTTTTAAGCAAAGGTCCTAGTTAATAGTTAATGGTGAGAAATGGTCCCCAAACTAAAATGTGACCATTTTATATATAAAAAAAAAAAAATTACAAAAATCTCTCAAATCTTATTTGCATGAGTTTTGACAATAATTAGGCATCATAGACAAAAGTATTTTCATGTTGCACATTTGATAATACATAAACACAAAATATTAGTGCTGCAGCAATGATTCTAAGTAAATAAATTTCACAATGCTAAAATATATGGCTATATATATATATATATATATATTGTGTGTGATATTTTATGTTCAATTAAAAAATTAATTAATTTAGGTTTGTATTATTTTAATTGAGAAAAAAGAAAAGGATAAGTGCTATCCCATGGCTGACAGAGGAAAGTGGGGTTTCTGGTTATTCTGTTCTTGCCGCAGATGTTACACAGTGTGGGTCTGGCTTCTATATAAGAGGGGTTGACAGAATCAAGCAGCCCACTGAATTATCCCCAACATAAACATCTGTACCCGCAGGAGTCAAGTACTCATGCATACATTACAACTTCAAGTGGCTTCTCCTGCTGCCATAAGCGTTGTATTGGGGAGTATGTCTGGGTGAAGAGTGTGTTTGTATAGAACACGTTACCCAATCAGCTGATCCTTGTTCTGCTCAACTACAGTGGGCGGCACGTTGGATACGACCACCTGCATGTCCAGCTGGTTAACCACTGACACCTGGGAGAAAAGACAAAAGTAATCTCTGGTTATAAAAGAGAAAATTATAGCATAGAATGAAGGCTCTGAACTGTAACATTTTAAATATATGCTGTTTCTTTGATTGATGAAACTGGGAGACAGGAATGAGTTAAAAATGAAACTCAATTAATGGTAAATCTCTGCTTACTGTACATTAGAAATAAAGAACCAGCCAGCAATTTATAGATTTGTTTATATACACTTGTGTTGTTATACTGCACTAAAAAAAACCTCTAGCATCACTTGTTTGCAATGCCACTTTATTGGATATTTTAAATCTAATGCATTGAAAAAGCAATGCAATGAAAATTCTCTCATCATTTACTCACCCTGCCGTCCCAGATGTATATGACTTTCTTTATTTTGTGAAACACAAACTAAGATTTTTAGACAAATAATCAAATCTAAATCGATCTAAAAATCTTATGGTTTGTGTTAAACCGAAGAAAGAAAGTCAGTATTTAATTCAAGCTCTGTACTTTAAGAGCGGTCTATCTGGCATTAACTAGATGCCCTTGCTTCTACATGTTTAACTCGCAGGTTAAGTGCAGGTTGAAGATATTGAGTTATATTGAGAGATTGATTTATGGGTTTAAATACTGCTGGTGCCCTTCAGCCCACCAAAAAAATCAATGCCTCTTTTGCATCAGCTTCGGACGTCCTTCAAGAAAGCTTACAGGGACTGTATTTTTCTAATCAAAATCAGCTAACGGAGTTGCTTCTGCTGTAAAATCACATGATGGATTGCATCTCAAGACAGATTACAGTTTTAAACTTTAATCAATCTATTCAAACTGGCTTGGGATTGCGTATTTAAAGTGTGCAATTTCTTTCCTTCTTATAACACCAGAATTGTTCTGATTCTGATGCCACTTAATGATTCTGGTTCCTTGATAAATTTCTATGGTACATAGTTTTTGACAACATATTTTTTATTTATTATTATTATTACTAGTCTTAATCCAAGTAACATTTATTAAAACAAAATGATGTTCTGGATTTGTATCTTTAACCAGGGGCTTTCAAACTGAGGTCCAGGGCCATAAGGGAGTACTAGGGGGTCCATGGAAATGTAAAAACAGTGGGTAAATACAGTAAAAAAAAAAAAAAAAAAAAATAATAATTAACAAATAATAAATTAATTGAAGTAAATAGAAATAGACACACTATATTAAAATAAATAACAAATAAAAATATTAATTATTTAAAGAAATATAAATAAATATTACAGCTTACAGTATAGTACAATATTGAGTAGAACAAAATAATGTAATGTAATAAAAACTGTTAGAAAACAGTAATGGTAAAATTTTTCACAGTATAAATTGAGTCTTTATGCATTGAAATTTATAGCTGCTTTTCAAATTTTAAGATGGGGGTCCCTCGCCCAAGGACAATCGTATTTGTTTGTCCTTATTGTCCGTATGTGGCTTAATTACACAGATGTGAATTAAAGTGAAGACATGACTTCAAAGTTAAGTTCAGTGAGTCAGATGTCATATTTATGACTGATTCAGTGAGCAAGGGATCAAACTGATAACTTTATGATTCTTTTTGTGAGAATTTTTGACTGATTCGTTTAAAAGAACCTGCTCAAAAGAGTCATTTTTTTTCTCACAAATCTATCATTTGAATGAGAAATAAACCTACCACCAAAAACACTCAACTTTATGCTGCTTGATCACATACGTACCACCACTTGAGCGCTGCTGCTGAGTCCCTCCCCGTAGTCATCGGTAGCAACCACGTCAAATTTGAAGTACGAGCGCCGCATGTTTCTGTACATGATGGCTGTCTTAATTACTCCTGTGAAGGGCTCAATAACAAAGCCGTCTTTGCCGTCAGTAGTTGGGGGGATAATCAGCCTGTACAGCATGGCGCTGTAATTCCCTGTGTCCTTATCCACAGCCTGTCATATACAATAGAGCACAGACATGTCAAAGAGAGGAATAGCCACGAGCTACTTATCACCTACAACACTCAACCTCTGCCGTCGCACGCACTTCCACCTCTGGACTTTAAGGGGAGCTCCAAGCTCCAATTTCACAGCACCGGCGTCACTTTGGCTCCGTCTCAGCTGAACATTATAGCACTCCACTGCGGTGACAATGATTTACAATGGCTTTTTACAAGAGAGAGGAATGGGTCGGCTCCACGGACAGCAGGGTGCCCAGGACCAGGCAGAGTCATTAACACAAATGAGACTTTTTCCAATATGCCTGTGAGACCGGTTTCAATAAATACAGTAAGTGTGTATTAAAAGCCCTTGCAAACAAAAGGTCCATCTTTTAATTGGTCGTTTATTGAGGCTGAGCGTGGACAGAACGCACGACTCGGCGGCGGAAACCTCTGATCGCCTCTGTGGCGCAGATCTTGAGTTGACACAACGCACAACTCAGAAGTGGAAACCTTTGACTGTCGCTGCGCACAGATCTTGAGTCAAAACTCACAAGAGTCTCTTTCTATTTTCTTTCTTCACGTTTCTACCTTAGATTAAACTCTAGGAACTTCAGAAAGGCACTGCTTTCTCAGAAGGCCAATATTTTTCAATATGCCTTGGAGACACATTTCAGTTAATACAGAAAGTGTCTATTAAAGTCCCTTACAAACAAAAGGTCTTTTAGTTGGTCATTTATCGAGGTTGAGCGTGGACAGTACACGCAACCTGCTAGCGGAAATCTTTGAGTCGAAGCTGTGAAATCGAATCTGTATTTCCACAAAAGTCTCTCTTTTTTGTCTTCGTGTTTCTACCTCAGATTAAACTCGAGGAACATCAGAAAGGCAATGTTTTCTCAGTAGGCCAATAGATTGCTTAAACTAATTATCAGATCAGGACAGAACAATGGATGCAGGGCTAATCGGAGAAAGCGCTTCCACAACGCAAAGCAGTTCTTTCACAACATCCCTGTCCTTAGGGTTGGCAGAGCTAGGAACGGTTTCAATTTTCACGCCTTTTTTCCTCCTCAAAACCATTTAAAGAGGGATTTCAAAAGTAGATTAGTCTAATCTACGAACCCCTGAGCTGTTTGAACAAAAATCCATAGTAAGCGATTTCTGCGACACCTGAGAAGTGGACAAAATGCGTGATCGTGTATGTCAAGGCAGCATATTTGGACTTTTGCCCGTTGAACTTCATATCTCAGATGTTTCTTCGAGTAAACAGGAGACACTGATGATGGTAATCTGTATTCGCAGTGAATGTGAGCCTATAAAACCCTGGACTTCTGCTGCATGGCTTAACTCAGTCTGGGGTCTTGGCTAATAAGGTCTCCTTGAACGAATACAGGACGCCAGGCACCCGATAGCATCGCTGTCGCTGTTCTTTTAGTCTGCACATGAACTTAAGGCAGGGTGAAGCCATATGAGGTGAACCCCTGTTTTAAGAACAGCATGTGGCCTGCATGTCGGATTAGAGTAACACTGAGGTAATTACATGGATGACTTTTACAGCTTGTAGTTCTGAGGCCTGAAACATACTTACGCAAGTACGTAAATGTAGACGCTTGTGGAATACATTGCAATTTTGATACCACAGTAAAAAGTAATATACTATTAAACACTTCTTTGAAGTGAAAAATTAGTATAAATATTAAAGTAAATTAGCCTTCAAGTATATCTGAAGAAAAATATTTTAATTAAAATTTTAATTATTCAAGACAAGAAAACCGTACTATATAAAAAAAAGAAGAGAGAGAAACCAATTACAAACAACTGAACAAATAAAAACAACAGAACAAAGACACGATTAATGAAATCAACAGTGCTTGGAGTATGCTGGGTGTTTAAAGGGGTCCTATTATGCTCTTTTACAAAGTTTTGATTTTGTTTTGGGGGTGTATTAAGAACAGGCTCTCATACTTGGTTGTTCGAAAAACACATTATTTTTCACATATTTTACATTATTACAACACCTCTCCCCAGTCTGGCATGACCGTCTCGAATAGTTCCCGTATCAAATGAAGGCCCGCCTTCTGAAATACGAAAAGTGCTGTTATTGGTTAGCTGGGCCAGTGTGTGTTGTGATTGGCAGCACTCTGCGCCTGGTCGGGAAATGTCATGCCCCTTACCATAGCCGTCTGCGAGCTTCAGTGTAAATATTGCGTCAAAATCAAATCAATTTGAGCGCGATTTAAACCCGGATGATTGTAACCACTCTAAGTTCGTCTGCTTTGGGAAAGCTAGCGTGTCTCTGACATAGTGATAACACTCGTTGCCTTCTCTAGTGCAGCTCAATAGCCTGTGATATCACAAATCCCGGAAATTATGCGTTGTAGTCCAAACGAGTCGTTCGTTGTAGTTTTTGAAAAGTGATTTCTGTTAAATAAAACATCTCCTTTTGAAGTGGACTTTGAGCTTTGTAACTTTGCAGATCTTTTTTATGCTCAAACAGCAACATTACAAACTAACTAAAGTTGAAAAAGTGAAAAAGCATAATACAACTTTAACCTTTTTCCTTTAACACAAATAAACAGTCTGAAACTGAAAAAGTAATTAAATGGAAAATACAATTATACACCGATACTTAAATTATTGGTTTGTAATTACAATTAACAATAAAGTTTCTTTTTTTACTTTTGGCCTAGCTTTGTGTATGTTCAACAATGAAACACCTATTAAAAAGTTATCCATCCCGGAGCTATGAGTGTTTTTCTATTTATCTTGTCAATACTGTTGTTTGATTAATATGACTGACACAATAGAGAGTGACAGGTCTATTGTAGAAACATTAGGACTTGTTCTGTTCACTGTTTTCACTAAGAAAAAATGGCAGAAAAATGCCTTGCAATGTCAATTCATATGTCCATGCAAATTTTATTGAAAAAATGCGCTGATCACTGAAATATCCAGTTTATGTTCTGTAAAGCTCGCCTGAGTTAGCAACAGTAACCACATCAGTATTACTGATGCTGTACTGGCATTTCATTACTTACATGTTAGCATCAACTTTATACTATACTGCTACTTTTGAAATCCCTAGCACTCCCATACACAAGGGGGAAACAGAGTTACTGTCAAATCTGCGCCATTAAACTGGATTACCAGTTATTATTTACAGTAGGTAGTTAGCCATAAACGTGAAACTTATGAAACTTTTACTATGCCATGACAGGAGTTGACCTGATGAACGGATTGTTTTTTTGTTTTTTTTTTGCAAATATCTGCTATAGTGCTAAACTACAATACTGAGAATGAAACCTGTGTATTATAAATCACACAGAAATGTATAAAAGCATTGGGAAATTTTTTAACAAGCTAGAAGTGCCTGTTTACGTACTTGCATAGTGTATGTTTCAGGCTAAAATAAAGGCTTGAAAACTGTTATGAGTAGGAGATAGAGTTAGTCAGAGAGAGAAAAAAGACAAAGTAATTGTTAGGCAGAAAAGTACTAGTAAAGACAAAGAAAATAACGATAGAGGAACAGCGTCTGGAAAAGGACGCAGTCCGTGCTCTAAGAGAAACCCTGGCTGATTTATGAGGATCTTTGATTCATTTTCTTTTCCAGAGTATGCAGTGCCCTTGTCCATGCTTTTGACAGTTGTGTTGAGATCTGTATCAGCGGGCCACCGCAGCCATGACATTTTACAAGCTGTCTTGTATTATAAATCACACAGAAATGTATAAAAGCATTGGGAAATTTTTAAACTCAAGCTAGAAGTGCCTGTTTACGTACTTGCATAGTGTATGTTTCAGGCTAAAATAAAGGCTTGAAAACTGTTATGAGTAGGAGATAGAGTTAGTCAGAGAACACAAAAAGACAAAGTAATTGTTAGGCAGAAAAGTACTAGTAAAGACAAAGAAAATAACGATAGAGGAACAGCGTCTGGAAAAGGACGCAGTCCGTGCTCTAAGAGAAACCCTGGCTGATTTATGAGGATCTTTGATTCATTTTCTTTTCCAGAGTATGCAGTGCCCTTGTCCATGCTTTTGACAGTTGTGTTGAGATCTGTATCAGCGGGCCACCGCAGCCATGACATTTTACAAGCTGTCTCAAGATGATCCAATCTTTCAGACCCCAGCTGGGCAGACTTAAGCTCCTCAGTCAAGACCAGCAATCTGATCAACCAGAGAACAACAACCTCACACGGGACACAGGAACCAACTCACCTCAACCACCAGCACAGAGGAAAACTAGCATAACACATCCACTTTTCAGTGATGAATTCCCATCGTTTTTTCATTCCAGTCTTTTAAAAATCATTCTAATTCAGACCAGTTCACTACTGAATCATTCAGGCCAATTTGGGCACCTCTTTGATTCAAAAGAATGAAAAAGAATGAAGTTTTGTGAACAAGTTTTTTTCTCTATGCAAGCGCAATAGCAAACTTGCCAAGTTGTTAAGCTGATATTCACAAAATACATGCCCATGACTTTTACAATTTGATTAATATCCATGACTTTTCCAGGCCAGGAAAACACACTTTTAAAACTCCCTGATATTTCAGGTCTTCCATGACCGTGAAAATGGTTGATTTCCTCCTGTTGAAGAACTGAATTATTATTCAGCGCTGTGCAGCTTTGTTCTCTGAATTGCTTCCACTGGTGCTGGACTGACATTTTATCACATGTGTAGGAACCCGTCAATTAAATTACAATTTGCTTTTTATCCTGCTCCTGACATTCTGATGCAATACGCATCACTTAGTGAACAAATCCTTGGCTTATCCATGGGAGTGCTATCTGAAGCCTCGTGGATAGAGTTACAATCCTGCGGGAGACGACACTTTACCTGGACCTGTAAAACAGAGGTGAAGGTCTTGGCATCCTCTGCAACCCCACCGAGGTAAAAGGGCTTAGTGAACTCAGGAGGATGGTCGTTCTCATCTTGCACATCGATGAAGACCTTTGCTGTGTTGCCTGAAAAAAAAAAAAAAACGAAATAAAAAATGATGATCAAATGAAGTGAGGACGTATAAGGCATACAGAACATCCAAGAACATGTTATAGCATGTCTCTGGTTTGTATATAACTTTTGTAATAAAAAAAAAAAAGATCAGTGAAATTTTTTGATTGACATTTAATAAACTTCAAAATAATATTTTGATCAACGGAAGAGATAGACCTTTTCTTCTGTATTGAAACATACATCAAACGTCAAAACGATTATCGAAAAAGAAAGATTGGATGGAGGCAGATCTGAATGTGAGCTTGCAGTCAATTGTAAGATTAGCAGAGTTTAATCGGACTAAATTATTGGAGAATGACATCAGATGTCGTCATTTTTGATTAAAATTTATTAGTCTCATTATTATTATCATTATCATTATCATTTAAGTGAATCGTTCACAGAAATATCCATTATATGCATTTAGAAAATAGGGTGACTTTCCATTTCATGCCGACTTTAAGCTTGATAAATGCGGTCAACACAACAGTAATTCGATTTAAAAAAAAATTCTTAATTAAAACAGCTTTTAACTACAATGAAGTAAATATAAATTCAACAAATGTCAAAAATGTAGATATTTTTGTATGATTTCTAATTTCAGAGGTAATAAAACTAGCATTAAAAGTTTTAAACTATTCATGCATTTAAAACTACCTATTTTTCATGCCAGTTCTCAAAACATGCTTCGAAGCTATTACAATCAAATTCAGGAGATCATCAAAACTCTGCTCTTCACACTCAGTTTTGCACATCTAAGCTGCTGAAGTACATTTCTATATGGAGCACAGCATTTCTTCATCAAGTCCTTCAAGACTATCATCTGTCACTTCTCAAGGTAAAAGGCAGAGTCATATTTTGTGGGGGTATGAGAGCAACAACACGATTTATCATCTGAGAGATTTTATGCCAAGGGGTTTCCAGAACCTTCTGCTCATTTCTGCGCAGTCACTCCGAGTGGAGCGCTGAAGCATCACAGCGCAGAGCAGAAAGGGATTCCTTGACCACTGGACAGCAATGAATCCAACAACAATGAATAAAAATAGGAAATTAACCACCTGAAAACATAAAGGAAGTATTTTAAATAATATATTGACTTTTTGTAATGCTTTTGTCTGCTACTACAATGTAAAGTCTTTAAATTCTCTTCATTTGGAGACTTTTCTCAGTGAGATATTGATCTATGAAAACATTGATTAATTTGATTAATTAACCTGTATATGATGCAATTAATTTAATGACAATTTTAAATCAATTCACAACCCTCATATTTGTATGACTACTCCATCTAGATATTCATGAGACCCATGAGGTCTTATTTAAAACACTGACCTGGCAGCTCTCGCAAGCACACTGACAAGATATAATTAAAACTTGCATTAAACAATCAATGAAATCCACTAAGCTGACAGACTGACTGGACGCAACTAATCTTTTGACTTTATCACCAGGTTTGCGTACTTGGTATATTAAATGAGAAAAAAGAAATCAATATCCATAGCTGTCTAATCTGGTTAATCATGAATGCTTTTCTCAAATAATGATTTTCCATAAACGACTCCACATGGAAAAGATGGACAAACAGCCGCCCATCCCCCATGTTAACGGAACATGAGATGACAGGAAGTCATTTACACATATTTTTATTACACTGAGATGGCATGCTGGAAAGGAGGCGTTTTATTCACTCCAAAATAAAAAGCAAAAACACTCTGAACAAGCTTTTAAGCCACATAAAATGTCCCAGGGTCAAAAGCAGACCCATACGGAATGTTCTTTATTTTGGATAATTTGACTGATGTGTTCAGAAATGTGTTCTAAGGCTACGTCCACACAAAGCCAGAGCTTTCCCTATTCTATCTTTTTTTCCCCCCTCATCTCAAGAAATATCTGCATCCACACGAAACCACAAAACCGACACAAAACGGTGTCGTATACATGCCAGACCAGTATGTGGCGCTGTAATTCTGCCACAGAGATACACTAAAAACGGAGAAGAAGACTTGGACTATGCGCATAATCCACTCTGGAACCCGGTTTAAAAAAATATCGGTTTCACTCTCCCAAAACGCCGGATCCGTGTGGACGAAACGCCTATACGATACAAAATGTATGCGTATACAGCTAAACGCGTCTCCGTGTGGACGGGGCCTTAAATTCCTTTTAACACATTTGATGGTTAAATCTGTTCTGAATTTGAGTTTAGTTATCATTTTAGAGTAAAAGGGTAAAGGCCAGTTCACACAAAGAACAATAAATGTAAAGATAACTATAACTATATTAGCGTCCACACCAACAGATAATAAAATTCTGTTTATTATAAGCATGAGCTGCAGTTTTGTCATCTGCCACTTTAAAGGTGCACTAAGCGATTTTTGTCAAACGATGTTGATATTTGAAAGCACCGAAACAAACACGCCCATAACCCAACAGGACCTCGCCCCTATTTTTATATTTCCGCCCCACACGTACGCACACAACCCTGGCATAACGACGGTTGCGGAAACAAGCGAAGATGACACACAAGCATATTCAAACAAAAGCCAACACGGATAAGTTGTGTAAAAGAAAGCAAAATCAACGTTACTCACCTATCAAGAAGAAACAACGCAACCTTGGTGTACGATTCGAGCCCTTCCCGCTCCTTGAGTTTCTCTCCCCCGCTGGAAAGCTGCTCTGATATTTACGCGGGTCCTACCTCTTGCTTGGTCGTAACCCTTCTTTTTAATGTTTTCCTATTTTTTATCTTCCATTTCTCTCTATCTATAATCAATCTGCTAATATCCGTCCTGTGCACTCAAATTGAGCGCCCTCTTCTCTCTAACATAACAAGACACGCCCCTTACTGCTGATTGGCTACAAGTGTGTTTCGGGACACGTTCCGACACTGTGGTCAAAAGCATTTTTCAAACATTGCTTAGCGCACCTTTAAATGCTTGTACTGTTTGGCTGTCAATGTGCAATCATTCATTAGCTGAAAAAAAAAAAAAAAAACGTTCTAACAGTGATTCCATTGATATTGTTGCTCTCTTTTGTTAACGTTATAGTTGTAGTGTTAACTTCTCATAGAGATTCATAGTTATCCATGGTATGAATGGGCATTAAAAGCAGCCTCACTTTTGGATGGGGCTCGAAGGTTGGATGACACCACCCTCATGGAGTCGGCTTCCACACGGAGGACGTAACTGCTGTTGCTCTCGTAGTCCAGTGGCTTGGCAGTGCTGATAACTCCAGTGATGTTGTTCACAATGAATTCACCTGTGGCAACAGGAGAAAGACAGCAGGTTTGTTTAATTGCTGTTTTACAACAGCTTCACACTGAGATAACACACAGAGTCAGAATTATGCATTTGTAACCTTACATATTTATTATAGAGTGGGAGACTTGAGTGTCTGAAAATTTCCAAAATAAAATGAAAAAAATAAATAAAAAAATCCTTTGTGGAAAATGTACACGCTAGCATACTTTAAAAAAAGATTACAGATTGCATAAATAATATACTTTAAAATAACCTAGGCCTACTTGAGTGTAAATTGAATTGAATGTTTTTTGGATGCTTAATTGCATGTTATTTATAGTTAATTTACAATGTGTTGTATTTTAAATTTGTCTTAAATGCAATTAGTTCTACTTAAGAGTGCTTTTTGACCCACTTAAGTAGGACTTAAGTACATCTCTATATGTAAATTCATAACTACTTTTGTTGTTGAAATATGGTAAAAGTGTACTGCCGAATACTGACAAGCATTTATAATAAATTAAAATATACTTTTGTATATTATAAATTACACTTTTTTTTTTAAAATGTAGTCGTTTAAATTTAGTACATTTATAACATATTAACTTGTTAATTTGTATTAAATGCCAAGTTCTGTCATGAAACTCTAGATACACAGGCTGATGGGTCGCTAACGCAAACTGATGATATTCACAGCATTAAACTACTAGGCACATGCTGATTGGTTCATGTGGCATATGCAGCCAATGAGCTTACTGCTTTACATTTAAAGGGCTGTTTAGCGTTCACTAGAGAATTTCGCAGCACACTTTCAGAGTTCCTCCGAAACTCTCCACCCTCCCCAGCTCCGCCTGTATAAATCTGCTACGGGTTATTTTATATGCTATTCATGCAGCAGCAGTATGTCTTAAATACTGACAGCACCGTATCGGCATATGTATTTGCAGTAGCTAGTTCCTGTACTTATATACTGTACTGTATTATACAATAATCTACAAGAACAGCAATAGCCTACAGCAGCAGCAGATCTATTTCATCAAGACCAAATACATTAACATTGTCATATCCATTACCATGCTAAAATCTTCAGAAAGTTGTAAACTAAATGTAATACAAAACACTACAGTTAAAAGTACTTTAGTATGTTAGTCATATAAGTGAACTTCTTTAAAGCACAACAAAAGATTAAAACAAGGTTTTAAAATGTAGTTTAAACTTTTATTTTGGCTTTTTTACAAAGTACACTTTTTTTTAGTGTCCTAAGAAACACATAGTCATTGAAGTGTACTTTAAGTACACTAAAATGGTCCTATATTTAATTAATTAATTTATTACCTGCAAACACACATTCAGAAGTACACATTGAGTACGGTTAAGCGCACTTCTGGGATGAAATGAAGTACCTTTCATTTTTAAAGCATTCACTAGATTTTATTCACTGGATTATCCAAAATAGGGATTACCATATGGTTCTTTACTATATAACTAATTTTTCCCATTGCATTTACAGGGGTCAAAAAACTATATTGTCATCTATACCTTTACCATAATATGACATTACTCAATCAGTAATTCTTGGCCCGGCTAAGTCTAGGTCTTACAACTCATCCCTTTCCCGCTTCCGTGTAGCGTATCGTTAATGCACTTAGCTATACTGGGATTTCGGGTCCAGAGTGCACTACCCACCTCTTGAGTCTCATTAACATTCATAAAGGATTAGCTCTGATCTTGGGTGAAGTCATCGCATTAAACGCCTTGGATCCAGGCGGTTTGAAGGGTGGAATGATTACCTTATTATTCCTGGCTTTTTCTAGTTTGCGCTAATGAAAACAGCCCTTTGATTACCTATCTACGCTTCTTGATTCCGCCTAATGAGAATGTACCGAAACGATTTCCCCATCGCTTTAAACCCGCGCCAGATGTATTCAAATGTGATTTCGGCTGAACACATTCTGAACAGAGAGGATTTAATCACGCACACCTCCCTCTTCCTGCTCTCGCTTGCTCTCCGATGACACACGGCAACAGGAAGCGCGCTCCTTCAAACGAAACCTTCTCTCTCACTGAGCTTTTGATAACTTGCAGCTGACAGACACCTAAGAAACACCGTCTAGGAGTCTGCGGGCTGTCATTATCCAGAGCTTGATGTCTTACAAACTATAATTTATTACAATACAATAATATCCAGCTCATAAAATACCAGTGTGACATTTCCCGCAATCTTGTCTTTTGTTTTTTTTGTCCCTGAGGAGGGAATAAACCGTAGTCTGGTTGAACTATACTCTTGTATGTATGAGAACTTCCAGTGATGGTTTAATTGCATGCACTTTCTGCATAATTTTAGCACCTTATTCTCTAAACAAATTATGCAAATCTGGTTAGTGCTCACCGCCCTCATTTCCATCGATGATGGAGTAGACGATGGTCTGGTTTATGACTGCCGCCAAGATGACTCCTGCAACCGTTCCCACAGGGGCATTTTCGCTGACCGGAGAGAACCTGCACATACAAAGTGCACTGCATTAATGATGAATCACAAATCATACACAATAAAACAACGATTCTGGTGGGTCATGCCACCGATATGTACCAAGTTTACTGGGAATGTAAAAGTAACATAGAGCAAAAGTAACTCTTTAACTCTTTGGGGTCAGTAAGTATGCATGCATGCATGTATTCATTTATTTGTTTGAATGAATTATTCAGCAAGGATGCATTATATTGACCAAAAGTGACAGTAAAGACCTTTATAATGTTACAAACGATTTTTATTTCAAATAATTCACAAACATATAGAGCAGAACATTGTTTTTTTTAACATTGATAATAATAAATATTTCTTGAGCAGAAAATTAGCATATTAAATTGATTTCTGAAGGTTTCTGATGACTAAAAATAATGACTGCTGAAAATTCAGCTGTGCCATTGTCACGATGTCACACACACGAGGGACGAGGAGACGCTGGAGAATACTTTAACAAGACTTTAATGCCAGGAACCAAGGGAGACGAACTCAGGAAGACGTTTAACAGGAAGACGTACAACAGCGGACAGAGAACTAGGGACTGGGAACACTTTTTATACACACAGGAGGAGGGGCTGACGAGACACACCTGGGATCAATGGAAATTAAACATGGGAAACACCTGGGAAGAAATCAACTAAATCAGGACAGGAACAGGAAACAAACCAAATATGGGCATCGGAAGGCACATGGGGAGCAAGACACACACAAAACATGGAACAGAGTCTGACAGCCATCACAGGAATAAATTATATTTTAAAATATATTAAGCCAGAAAATAGTCTATTTTAAATTGTAATAATTTTGTACAATATTAATGTTTTTACTGTATTTTTTATCAAATAAATGCAGCCTTGGTGAGCATAAAATACTTTTCATAAAATAAATTTCAAAAACATTAAAAAATCTTAATCCCAAACTAGTACCTATTAAAACTGTACTAATTAATTATGTAATGAAACAAAGAACAATAAATAAATAGACAAACAAATACATTTTCTGTATAAACTGTATATGCATTTATTTTTTATTTTTTTTGTATTTCCTAGAATCTAACCCATGACCTTGGCATTGCTAACTCTTTACTATTTGAGCTACAGGCAATGTTTAAAAATAGAGTACAAAAGCCTGAGGGTAAGAAAGGTTGGAAATGGGCATTCAAAACCGTGCATTACAAGAACCGCTGAAATTGCAAAAAGTGCAAATAAATGAATTGACTGACAATCTAAATGCTGCATTTTTTGCTGCTTGATATAAATGCACAGTAGGCTATTCAGCACTATCAAACTGAATTTAAATGTACACATATAGGTCTGACAGAGAATCAATGGACAGACAGCATGATTACTCCACATTCTCAAATCAGGCGGTCAGCTTACCCGTTTCATTTTATAAAACAAACTCAATTAATTTGAACTGTTAAGGATTCCAGTTTATAATTACCAAGACAAAATTCACAGGAATTTAATCAATCAAGAAGTTAACTGGATCACAGTGTTAATTGGGCATCCTACACAGTTGCTAAACTAAGCAGAATAAAGAGTGTTAAAGGATAGCAAGCGTGGGAGTGAGCAGATCTTTACCTCAGATAAACCCAACAGCCGAACTGATCCATACTGAAACATATGTTCGAAATCAGCTGTCGCTTTCCAAGCACAACATACAACATTACACTTCAAATCATATTTTGGAACCAGTGGGTGAGAAAAGCATGATTTGGACTATTGACAAATAATCATTTTGAAAGATTAAGGAGTCACGGTGGCTTTCAGAGACAGTGTGACACTTTTTCCTTCTGGTATTAACATTCACTTCATGCAATTTTAGCACAAGTAGGCAGTGCTAGTTTGGGATCAGTTGTAGCGGTATTTGGCCATACAATATTGGGTTCGGGCACCAGGGGTAAAAACCATCACAGTGATTAGTTCAGTTACGATGTAAACCAGCACTATAATATGTATTATTAAATCAAGACAAGGAACAACCAGGCAATAAGTTGTAACTCATGTCTATTCAACTTCAGCTCAGTTCATTATACACAGTCCAAAAGGTGAACAAGCAAACAAACAACAACAACAACAAACAAAAAAACAACAATAGTTCCAGGCCAAGGAACATTTACTGTACCTTACACAATTCATAACAATGGGTGAATTATTTCAGAGTAGATAAGCATATGTCCACAAAGTAATGATCAAACTCCAAATTAACTAAATAAACCTTATGAAAACATAAAGCATTTATTTGAGAAAAATGAAAAAAAAAAAAACGAACTTTTCAGACTTCTGCACTTGCACATTACAGTAGACTTCAATATATGCACATTATAGTAGACTTCAACATATGCACATTATCGTAGACTTCCACACTTGCACATCACTGACGACTGTCACACATATATATCTATGTCATTAAAGACCTTGTTTTCAAAGCAAAACTGCAAAAACTGTTTTCAGCACTGATAATAATAAGAAATGTTTCTTGAGCATATTAGAATCAGCATATCAGCATATTAGAATGATTTTTAAAATATCATGTGACACTAAAGACTGGAGCAATGATGCTGAAAATTCAACTTGGTCATGACAAGAAAAAATACAAAATATATTTAAAAAAATAGCAAACAAGCTACACTGAAATAAGGGCAAGTTATTTCTTTTTCATTGGCTCAAGTTAAAAAATATAGATGTGAATCATTACCCTAAATGTTTTTAATTGGATGAATGAAACATTTTTTCAGTGTATTTTAAATGGTATTAATATTTCTCAATATTACCGTATCACATGAATGCAGCCTTGTTGCACTTCATGTTAATGTTTGTTTTTAAATAGCTTATTAAATCTACTAAAGTTAACCAGCCAAAGGCAGCGAGGGTTTTTAAAATTATTTTTCATGTCAATATTGTTGTTAATATTCCTTAATTACCAATTGTGTATGTGTGCAATCTAAAAGGCCTCTGGTGAATGTAATTAGTAAATTCCTGCCTGTCTTTTTATTTTAAACCTATATTAGTTATTAAAGCACCATACATTAGATTTTGGACGTTATTAGCTCCAGAAAGGCGCATGTTGGTGAATAATTGAGGAATGATGATTAAGAATTATAACAGTTAGCCTACACTTTTGTCAATTGTACCTGCCTATAGTGAGAAAACTGTGCAGTGTATAATTGAACTGGAATAATTTAGCTGGGTCACAGGAAAAAGAAAAAAATCTGGGTTAATATAAGGTTAATAAGGTGGGTTAATAAATGCCTTCTGAGTGGAATCGATGTGTTTGTGTAAGAATGTGTTTGTATATTTTATAATATGGTTAATTATGGATATTTCGTACACAAACGCATCGATTCACTTCAGAAAGCATTTATTAACCACCGGGAGCCATGTGGAGCACTTTTTATGATGAATGGATGCACTTTATTTTGCTTCAAAATCTTAAACCCCATTCACTGCCATTATAAAGCTTGGAGGAGCCAGGATATTTTTTTTTGTGAGGATGAGTAAATCGTGGGTCATTTTCATTTTTGGGTACTATCCCTTTAACAATTGACAGTAGAGAGTATAATTCAATGTGTTACTTGACAATTGTTTGTAATTAATTGTGAAATTTACTAGCAGTTACAAGTGTAAATTGTCTCGCCACATACATTTTTGATAGTATCTCTGCACGTTATGGACCATGCGTTCAGCTCACATTGTTTTACGGAAACTTAAAATGTTGTTGAAATATTCAGCCTTGCAAGGACATAGGTTTTGATTTTTGGCCTTCATAAGATAGGAGATAAGAAGGGGGGGTTAATAAATGCCTTCTGAGTGGAATCGATGTGTTTGTGTAAGAATGCGTTTGGATATTTTATAATATGGTTAATTATGGATATTTCGTACACAAACGCATCGATTCACTTCAGAAAGCATTTATTAACCACCGGGAGCCATGTGGAGCACTTTTTATGATGAATGGATGCACTTTATTTTGCTTCAAAATCTTAAACCCCATTCACTGCCATTATAAAGCTTGGAGGAGCCAGGATATTTTTTAAAGGAGACATATTATGCCCCCACAAGTCTGCTGCTTTTCAAAACCAAGAGCATATAAAGAGTGAGGTGAAAAGCTCCGAGTCAGAACAAGTGTTTTCTCCTATCGAATTCAACAACACGCACAAAACACCCTCAAGGACACTTTGAATACAAAAGCTAATAATCCTCTCACAGAATCGGATGCTCAATGTTTTGCTTTTTCGTACATTGTGATGCTCACGCTCGGCTTGGTGACGAGGCAACCTTCATCCTGGTTTTGGAGTACTTGAGAGTTTGCTGTACACAGGCTTACAGGGCGATTTGTCTCCCCTGGGCTGCGGCGTGGAAGATACACAGGCTTTTGTTATTCAGAAAGATGACAGAGTACCTTCCATATAATCCCTGAATATGCACATCGACATGTTCTTCCTGTATGGCGTCGCCCTATTGCTCGGTGCACTGTGCTCTGTGCTCTTGTACGCTCTCTGTTTTGACAGCGCTCTAATGGTCATTCCGCACAAGCACATGCTCAAGTGTTCACCCTATTGCTCGGTGCACTGTGCTCGCAGATAATAGAGAAAAAAAACGCTCTTGTACGCTCTCTGTTTTGACAGCGCTCTAATGGTCATTCCGCACAAGCACATGCTCAAGTGTTCGACACTAATGAGGTCCACTGAGCCGGCAAACGCATCCCCGCAACCCCCATTCCAATGTCATTATTTTATTCAACCACTTTTTTGTAACCGGGACTCTGCCCGTGGTGTCCAATCAGGACTGAACTGTGTTTAATCCAAAAACTAAGGATGGGCCACCGGGCAGCTTCTAACTACTTTTCCGTTTGTTTCTTGTTAGCTTTTCTGTTTGTTAGTCAAAATAGCAATTCGGAACATTTGGCCTCTTCCCATGGAGGCATAACGATTGTGGTACTCCTAGATCACAGGCTTTTTCATGTAGATTTG